AGAGAAAAAAGATCTGAAACAAAGCAAAGTTGATAATAATTTAGAAAGATCGAGTGGATAGCTCGTTGAAATTCAAGACCTCAGTGATCCTTGAAACAAAAAAGTTTTGACTTCTGGGAGTTGATGTTTGTATAAGAAACATAACTAGTTATTGAAAAGGAATATTTTACTTAGAAGAGTTCATTGATTTCGAATACAAATAAGCTGAAAATTGTCACAATTTTTGAATTTTCTAAACACTTGGCAACGCTGGCTCTAGATTATTTGACAATGGTAGGTTACCTGCATGCATTTCAAGGCCGACCGAGATCACTTTCGATTTTTATTCCGAATTATGTCATAACCGCTTTGGGTGTGCCGACTAAACAGAAGATTCGAGATTATCAAACGGAATCTTAATCAGCTGGTGCAACGACTTGAATGGTATGGAGTAGGCTAGCAACTTTTGAATTTGGGACATCTGATGAAACCCAAGTTTTGAATGTGTTCAAATGGGGCCGGTGATAGATTCGGGAAATTAATTGAAAATGAATTACTCTGGTTTTATCATTTTTTCTGGAATTGTCTGAAATTTATTTCATTTGTATGAAATGCGGATCCGAAAATCATTGCCAGAAGAACTCTTGGATTGTATACAGTGCGGACGTAAAAAGTTTTGTCCTTTTCAAATTTTATTTATTTATTCATCTAACGGCAGCGCTAATTTACATGAAAACATGAATTCTATTATTTATTTATTCATTTAGTTTAATAGGGATACAAGCGAGACGAGCCCAAAGACAGTATTCACATATAATAATAATAATAATGTGGCCTGGATCGATAACCTTAAGGCATTTGATACAATTTCGCATGAGCTCATCTTGCATTTGCTCAGATGCCTTGCGGTGCCCGACAAAATAGTGAGATGCATTGAACAACTGATACCACTTTGGCAAACTCGCTTTACCATAACATCTGGTCAAGCAAGAGTCCAAACAGGGTGGGTCACTTTCAGAAGGGGTGTATTTCAGGGTGATTCCCTCAGTCCCCTTCTCTTCTGCATCTCACTATTGTCATTATCCGTTGCGAACAGAAACACTNTCATAGCGGCTTGCCGCACTAAGGCAGAAATCTTAGCCGCACAGATGCAGAAGGCTGTCATTCTTGGCTCACTGCGCTTGCTCAGGGCACATGATTCTCAGACCCAATGATCACTTACCCAACGTTGTGGGGAGTGGGCAAATAGGTATCGTTCCCTCAAGGATTTATTGAAAATTCAAAAGGGTGTGTAAGACAAACTTTCTGAAAAACATAACATTTTGGACGAATATGAAACATTTATGTCCTTTAGCTTTATTCTTCATGTAAGGGTATGTATTTCTGGGGTTATTATAGAAGGGTACCATTAATGAGCTTGGTTCTGTTAACTTATTTTGCTCCATAATTGCGTTCAGAAAAACACTTGTCTTAGATCAAGTACGCCAGTCTTATATTCCGCAAATTCTGATCAAGGAAGCCAAATGGTAATGGACTTTCAAGTTCATTGTGGAATTAATCACTCAATAATTTTTGATGTATATCTATGAATTGTGGTTGGAATATTGAATGGGAGAATTCCTTTAATGTCAAATTATACACTCTAAATTTTATATAATGGTCTACTCAAGTTAATAATCTGTTATTTCACTATCAAGGTAACACTTCATGCATGAAAGATCGTTCGCAAATTCATTCTTGATTATTTTCAGACCGAAACAAAAATGCCACGGTAGATTTAATAATAATTTGTACACACATTCTTCACAAAAAATATTCGAGGCAACATTTCTCAGAACTGAGTATTGTAAATAACTCGAAAGAATAAGAAAATAAAAATAACACATCGTCAAGTCTATTCGTTAAAATTCATTGAAAAATGTAATCCTAGGGGTAAATCTAATAGGGTTCGGAATAAAAACTAGGAATTTGAACAAGAACATCTTAGAGAACTATTAACTAACGTATCAACTACTAAAAATTGCATTAGTGAATGGGTAGGATAGATCAGAAGTATATAAGCTGACTTGTGGCTCTTGTCCAAAACTGTATATTGGCCAACCAGGGAGATCATTTTCCCAAAGACTCAAGGAGCATAGAAGTAGTTTTGTTAATAGAAAGACCAATTCCACATTTGCCAACCACCTTTTAGCAGAGGGACCTGAGTTCAATCATGAATACGACGTGTTACATTTAGAAGACAAAAGTTTGAAACTGAATCTTCCAGAATATTTAGAATCATGAATTCGGGTAATTAACTGAATGACCAATCAGAATTAAATAACTCACCACTACTGAATATTTTTTCAAATGTGTGAACTAATACATAAGCTGAGGTAATTTAATTCATTACAAACCTGGTACACATTAATCATTAAATGACCAGGTAAGACTCAGATACTTGAAATGCAGGTACTTCAAATTGTGAAATTTGGTATGTAAAGCATTGAATATATAAAATATAGTTAGTAAAGACACATCAGAAGAATTTATTGTATGGCAAAACACGTGTTGTGTTTTTGTTAAACTGTTCAATTTTACAAAATAAAGTTTTTTTACACAATAAAGTTTTTTTTGAATACGTTAGGTACGGGTTTTCATCAAGTATCGGCCAATTTCATCATATATCATTTCGAAAACCCAAAATAACAAATCAAAAATGCAATCTATGATTTTCCAAATTTTAACGTAGCACCGTGGAATAAATTTCTATCGACAATATTTCAAGGCACCAAAGGAAGTTATGAAAATGTGGCAAAAAATGACGAGAATGTTTTGTGAGTTTTGATGAATGTAGGTCTGAGATTTGAAAAATGTATAAACAAACTCTTACAACATGCCTACTCTGTACTGGAAATCATTTATGGTCACCAACATATTCTTCCTTATTATGTGGAAAAGTCCTTATGTGAATCTTTGATGCTTTCAGTTTTCAATAATGCGGATGTTCTTTATGGCCCATGTTTAATCAATCAATACAAAAGTAAGATTCAAAAAGTTCAAAATTCGTGCCTTAGGTTAATTTTAGGTGTTGGCCGGCGCCACAGGATCTCATATAAGCTTTAAGAAATTGGATGGCTGAACATGGAGAAAAGAAGGTTACTTCACGCTGTCTGCTTTTTCCATAAAATAATTGTAACAAAAAAACCTTCATATCTTCATAGGAAAATCACATATCGTACGGACATCCGCAACCTGAATATTCGATATAAAAATATGATTGCAATGCCAAAATTCAAAATAGAAGTCTTCAGGCGATATTTCAGGTACCAAATTTGTCGAAAGTATAATTTTGTTCCCAACCCCCTCAAAAACTTAAATTTCACAAAGTTCAAAACTAAATATAAAGACTATTTGTTAGACTTTCATTTCTGTTTTTCTTTTCTTTTTCTTTTTATTTGTTCTCTTCTCAAGGTTAAATGGAATAAATGGAATAACATTTTGTTGTTATGTCTAAACACATATAATATATTTATGTTGTAGATATGTTTCAGATAATCGTAAAAGGTTTCCTTATTCGAAGTTCATTGTAGAAAACGCTCAGCGCAATGGAAAAAATATGAATAGGAACTTAAAAATAAAAAATCAATGTCAACATTATAAAACAATATTTTACATCTTCCATTGATCGAATTAAGTGAAAGTGGTTCGCCCCAAATAAGAGAATCGAACGAGAGACATTTCATATATAAACACCAACCACCGAAAAATGATCAAAGTTCGTTCAACAAGCAGACAAACATGGCATTCAAAGTGAGTTTTTGATAATTCAATAAGAAAAGTTTAGTGTAGCATTTCAATATAGCATTATTTTCGATAACACGAATGAAAATATGATTCGAAAATATTCCTTACGTCCTTTCACGGAAATAATATTCATTTACTATGAGGTATAGATAATTTGAAAGGATAATAATGGTTGTTTATCAGTGAAACAGTTTTTCTGATAGGATGTCAGATGCTCATTTGATATTTATTTTATGAAACTGGAACGAATAAAATTCGTGATCGTGTTCAAATTCTATATTTTGGTAACTTCTTTCATTAGGAACCTGTATATGTAGAGTAGGGAGGGTGAGAGTAGACTCACAGCACTTGGATCACATGTGACCCATTGTACATCCTCCCTCCTCCCGAGGAGTTGTCCTCCTACGTCATGGTCCATCCTGTCCTTTCCAGAAACGTGAACAGGTCACTAGGAGACATCTCCTTTATATTGGCAGGTGTAGGCCAAGACTCGCCGAACACACACTCTCTTTGGCAACATTGAGGTGTCTCACGGTGGCCTCCGCGAAGGTTTTGGAAGCTACAGCGACATTACTGTCGTTGCGCGGTTTCTTGGGGTTCCCTGCGTGGATGTGCACAAGTAAGGGAGCTTTCCTGCAGGGGCAGCCGGTTCCTTGTCTTTATTCAACGCGGAGGTCTTGGCGCCTGCTGCAGGAAATGCCCTTGCTGTTGGGGGTGATCTACTATGTCCAGCCTCATTCCAAGCGGTAGATTGGAGTGTACATATCTGTTCATCACCAGCCACCGCCTCAGATTGAGGTGAGCACTTCTGTCCAGCCTCGGGATTGGTTATTGTTTATGTTGTTTCTGTTTTTGTGTTGTTTATTTCATGTGTGTTCCCACGAGTAGCAAGGGAAGTAAGTGTTGGTTACCTCTGGCAGAACCTCGTATTACCAGAGGTAGGCTGATTACAATGAGGTTTCGCCCAGTTCCCCAAGGGGATCGTTCGTGACAGCATATCACCCTGCGGCCATTCAGCTCTCGGCACAATTCCTTACACTTCAGCTTGGGTAGGCTGGTGCACGGTGGCATGTTCTGCAATGGCTTTTGGAGAGTTTTAGTTCCCCTCATCCTACTTATTTCTGCCACTGACCCCATCCGTAAGGCCACATTGACTTCCCGGGCAGGGCCTCCAGTTCCCCGGCCGTTCCCCTATCCGCCACCTAGGAACGCGCCCGATAGGTAGCCCAACCCACAGGTTTCATTAGGAATANCATCAGCAGTGTATTCCACGATACGTCTGGAACCGTCAGCTTCAACGAGGGAGTAGCTTCCGTGAACAACACCATTGTCGTTTGATTCTTGTTGGGATTTGCTGTCTCCGGTATGGGGATCATTAACGCCGTATCCAAAGTTGTAGTTTGCTGGAGCCTCAGCGACGATGGCTTTGGCGAAGGGGGCGGCATAAGCGACTGGGGCGGCTACTTTGAGAGCTGGAGCGGCATAGGAGAAAGCTGGAGCGGCGTGGGAGTAGACTGGAGCAGAGTAGGCGACTGGGGCAGCAACTCTGGCATAGGAGGCTAATGGAGCTGATACGCTGGAGTATGACACAGCAGGGGCGGCGGAGTATGCTACTTCAGCAACTGGAGGGGCATAAGCCAATGGGGCGGAGTATGATTGGAGTACTCCAGCACGGACTACTGCGATTAGAGCAGCGAAGGCTACGAACTAAATAAAAATGATTTCAATGGATGTGTTGTGAATTTGTAGCTTTGCTAAAGATGAAATCAAATTACTGGAAGCTATGGACGATACGAATCTGAATCTTTCTGAAATGATCATGAGCAATTATGGGGGTGTAGATATGGAAATTCCAAAATATTCATATTTATCATAAAATAGGTTATATTTTGTATTGAGATGTCTCATGAAGTAACTACAATAGATATGCAGTAACTATCTAGAACTGACTGACTTACTTTGAATGCCATGTTCGTTCGCTGGCTGAGTGAACTTTGTGTCGATTTTTAGTGATACCCGCTTTATATACCATAGGAATGCTTCAGTTTGGTTGACTGATCTGAAGCGAATTTACTTTCACTGATTAAATCGTATTAAATCGTTGTTTTATAACACTGACTTTGACCTGGTGTTCGTACAGAAATAAATATGCTAAAAATATTACTGCTTCAGCATGCAGTAAAATGGGGTGTATTGAAGCAACAGGGATTAATTAAAAAACGTTCGATTTTTCCATCTTCAAATAATCATTATTTCCTAATGAGAAATTAGTGTAATTACTCCTTTAATAGCAAATTAAAACTTTAAAGATCATTCACGAGTTAAAATTCGATGTAATCACCTCCAGAAAATTCACCAGTTTCCAGAATTCTAAAACTCGGAATTTTTTTGTATTCCGACTTATACATTTTTCAGCTTTGGAAAGTACTTTTTTGTGAACACCTATAAATGATCAATATCAGAGTAGAGATAGGTTGAATTATATTACTTCCTCTAATATTTTCGCTGTCCAATCATCTATTCTTGTACAGTATAGTACAGTATTGATGGTCGATATTTTCAAGAAAATAAATTTAATTTGTGTTGTCACCTGTTTCGAAACATACATTTTGTCAATACACGCGTGATGCAGAAGACGTGCTCTCTGAAAAGACAAGGTTTTCGTGAACTGTGTGACGTTTTTTGTTGATTAGTTTGATAAGTTTCTGTAGCATTATGACTACTAAGATTTTTGTTTGTTACGGCTGAGTTCGGTCTATTAAACCATACTCAAACGAATTGGTAGTAAATCAGACAAAAGTTATTTTCTCTCTCCAATATTCGATATGAATTTCTACAAAATGATAATCTCCATACATATATTAACAATTTGTTCACTTTAAACTCATGTGGAAAAATAATAAGATTTGTTGATGACACAGCTATCGTATACCATGTGAAAACTGAATCGAACTCAAAGAAATAGTTGAAAATGACGTGGTTTGATCACAAATCGCAGAAGGTAAACTACAAGAAAACCAATTTTATATCTTTCACCAATAGCAGGAGTAGTTTGCCAAATTTTGACGGTCTAGTAATCGAAGATAACACAGGGGAAGCAAGCCAGATAATGCGACAAAACAAAAGACCTAGGTATAAATATAGACCAATATCTTAGGTGGAACGCTCATGTCAATTCTAATACTCGCACATTGAGAAGCTTACTATTCAAATTTAAATATATTCAAACAATTGTTTATAAGTTTTTTCATTGTATTCATCTTATCATGCTTCTCATATATGGATATAGGATTGAAATGCTAAGCTTTTTGGTACACATTATAAATGGAGAAAAACTGATTTATTTATTCTTTTCTTTTTTCTTTATATAGTAATTTTTGAATAGAAACACTATATACCTATATATATGAATGTATATGTATATGTGTTAGAAATCACACAGAAAAACAGATTTTAAACAGATTTTTTAAACAGATGTAACATATATATCCATATGTATAGATAAAACAGATGTATTACAGATTACAGATGTATTACATGAGTTTTCGGTATATTAATACATATAGAAATCATAACATGGAATACTAGATAAATGAAACCCCACACGAAATCTATGATTTTAGTGGGTAACTTGTTTATTTTACACCTACATCCTATGTAACTTTTGTAATAAAGTGAGTATTCACTGGAATATAACAGTATCAAGTAGACTCCTAAAAACGGACAAAACTTTTGAAACAACCTATACATTCATTCATCGTTACAACACTGTGCTGCCATTGAGTTCATTGCTTCTTCGGAAGCAAATGTTTTTCTCGCTTCTTTGTGATTCGATCAAGAATTTTAGAACTCGAATTTTTTCTGTAGCTGGATTGAGAAGGGCCTTTTTGAGAACAGAAAAGATCAATGTCAGAGGGGACATAGGTTGATATGTTTTTCTCAAATATTCCCATTGCCTATTCTTCTATCATGATTAACATTTTTGAAGAAAATTAATTTACCTTGTGCTGTAACCTGTTTACCAGCACACCCCTGATGAAGAGACACTGAAGAGACAAGATGGAAAGTGTGACGTTTGTTGTTGATTCATTTCTGTATCTCTTCGATTCCAATCCATTCCGCATACCCATTACAAAATTGGGTTTCTGTCTGGTGCATCATGTAATGCCCAAAATAACCTAGAAGACAATACTTGGACGATTTTTCCTAGACTATTTCTCTTTAGTCGATAAGGTAATTGGAAAACTGATCGTTAACTGATCCTGAGATCGATAACTCTTTCAAAAACATTTTTGAATTATTCTTGGCTCATTGAAACACTTTCGAAAATGAATGTCTCACCGACTTTCAGATAAACCTAACTCACTTGTTCACTCGAAAACAGTCTTTATTTGAAATAATTTACAAATATGTATATACACGCAGACGAAGAGTCCTAAATAACTCAGTGGTAGTATGCTGGTGCAGCATATCCATGAGCCAATGGAGCTACTGGTGCAGCATATGCAAGAGGAGCAGCAACTTTGGCAACAACTGGAGCTACAGCTTTGACAGCTACTGCAGCGGGTTCCTTGTGTACAACGGCGTTGAAACCATTGTGGTCATCAGCGGTGTATTCCACAATACGTCTGGAACCGTCAGCTTCAACGAGGGAGTAGCTTCCGTGAACAACACCATTGTCGTTTGATTCTTGTTGGGATTTGCTGTCTCCGGTATGGGGATCATTAACGCCGTATCCAAAGTTGTAGTTTGCTGGAGCGTCAGCGACGATGGCTTTGGCGAAGGGAGCGGCATAAGCGACTGGGGCGGCTACTTTAAGAGCTGGAGCGGCGTAGGAGAAAGCTGGCGCGGCGTGGGAGTAGACTGGAGCCGAATAGGCGACTGGGGCAGCAACTTTGGCGTAGGAGGCTAATGGAGCTGATACGCTGGAGTATGACACAGCAGGGGCGGCGGAGTATGCTACTTTGGCCACTGCAGGGGCGGAATATGCCAATGGTGCGGAGTATGCCGGAAGGAATCCAGCACGGGCTACTGAGATGAGAGCAGCGAATGCTACGAACTTGAAAAAAAAATAATTTGAAATGTTAGTTTTTCTAACTTCATCATCATCAACGAGAAGATGCTAAAACGTTCAAGATGTTCTCATTTGATCATTTAGTTTCGAGAAAATTATGGAATGGAACTATTTCTGTTTATTAATTCACAAATACTCACTTTGAATGCCATGTTTGTCTTCTTGGTGGAATATGTCTGTGACGATTTTCTGTGTTGGCAGCTTTATATATCGTATGATTGCTTCCACTTCAGTTCTCTGCGAATGTACTTTCACTGTTTAAACCGGAGCAAATTGTTACGTACTGTTTTATAATGCTGACATTGACCCAGTGATTGTTTCGATTAAGATATTCAAAGAATGTTCTAATCCGTCTTCAACGAAGCACGTATTGTTGAGGAGTTTCTTGTTTCGTTATATTCGTGAAATAAGAATGAATTAAATTGAGTTAACTGCTCCTGTTTGATACATATCCGTGTCTCATTAGCGTTTTGTGTTCCAGTAGTAGACGTATAAAATCTACTACTTAGATAAACATCAGCAAGGCTTGGAAATTCAGGATACCAGATAATTTCAAAATATTTTATCCTTCTCGGTAGATTCATGTATGAATGCAAGTGAAAAATAAGCATTGGGGTTCTCATTTTTGTCAATTCCATAAAACAAATTAATTTTTTTTCACTTAAACATTGTGAACCGATTTTTAGATAGATTTCTCAACATTATGCTGAATTTTCTCAAATATGTTCTTACTTTTTTGAATTCGTAACTGATATGCGATATAATTATTTAGTCAATTATTATACAAGGAAAAAAAGTATTACATTTCGACAATGTATACTGTCATCCTCAGGGAAAACTACAATAATAGAACATAAGACTGATTGATATTGTACAGTTGAAAATTATGTACTTACATTGTCATTGAGGTTGGACTCAGTGATGTTTAAAATAATTTTTGTTATAATTTGATTTTAATGTTGAACTTAGATTTGAGAAATGGGAAAACATTGAAATTAATGCTTCTCACAGATTCAATATATTATGTTTTTTTAGGTAAATTTACTACAATTTGATGGAACGATCCAACTCCGCATTTATTGCAACTGAAGGTGATAACTAAATTGACGGATGTAGTCGTTACTACATCACAATGAAGAGAGGAGAATTGAAACTTTCTATGTTTTTTACCACTTTTATTTGTAACTAACGTTACTGAATTTCAATGTATAAGTTTGAAAATGTCCTTATAGGACGAAACTGCAGTAACGTTAGTTAAAAATAAAAATGGTAAAAAACATAGAAAGTTTCGAAGGTTTGGTTTTTTCGGATTGACAGTTAACAGTTTTTGGCAAAACCAGTCATTTATGAGTATAAAATTTGATAGAAAATTGTAGTTTCATTGACGTATCCAATTACTCTTCCTGCAGTGTTCAGTTCAAACACATCGTTGACTAAAGGTTGTAAAGAACAGGACCAAGAACAGTACTTCGAGGTACACCACATCTGATATATTGCAATTCACTCAAGTCATTACCTATTTTCATCAATTGTTTTCTTTTATCTAAATAACTACTCGGAATATTGAAACATTTCTTTCCTGTCTAATATTCTTTCACAGAAATGTAGATGACTACGCTTTAAAGTCCAGAATATGTTGTTGCATTTCCTGATGCATAATTATGCATCAGGAAATGTGTCCTCACATATATTTTGCCAAGATCCGAAACCAGCAAAAAAATATGGAAAATTATAGGTAATAAGAATCGGTAAATCCATGAGCAAATCCCACTGTGTTTATTCCTAATGTGTTCAATCACAAGAACTTCATTCGATAAAGATACAAGGGTCATCTCACTTCGTGATGTGAGATTTTAAACACAGGATTTTGTAGTCAACTCTTTTATCTCACACAAATCCCACATGATCCAACTTTGGGAATTGATTCGCTTTCGATCTAGTATCATCTTTCAAATAACGTATTCCTACCAACAGAGATTTTGAGAGAATGTTTGTTGGCATAACATATATTTTCAAAAAATTCCAAAACAAAACATCACTTCGACATTTTTTTGTTTTTCCTCAGGTATGTAACGCCAGCTTATGGCAATGGTCTCCACGGATGGTAATTATTGCGTATTGACAATCGAGTTGAACCTTTTACTTCGTGATAGCATAAATAATAATATTGATAATAATAATAAATCAAGTTCATAGTTGAAATAAAGGAAAGGTTGGTAAAACTTGCTTTATTTTAAATTAAAACTTAAAAAACAAATAAATATGTGGTATTCACAGTGAAGATCACAACGATTCAGCACTTAGTGGTAATATGAGGAAGCTGCATGACCTACTGGAGCAGATACGCTAGAGTAGGACACAGCTGGGGCAGCAGAGTAACCCACTTTAGCTACAGCTGAAACAGCTGGATATGCCACCTTGGCGAAAGCTGGAGCAGCATAATTGTGAGGAGCAGCATAGGCTACTGGGGCAGCAACTTTAGCAACTAACGGGGCAGCTACTTTATAGTTTGGCGCATGTTTGGCAATACAGTTGATCAGATGTTTCAAGAAAAAGCTTTGCACGGACTGGTTATCAGTCATATTAGAAAGCAAGATCCGGAAGGTTTATGATCTCGAATACTGAAATCACTGAAATTGGCAATGGCGGTGATATTGCCAAACTACCAGAACCATCTCTTGACGGTAATTCATCATGGTATGCACACATTGATGTACTGAGTAAGAAGATGTATAAGAGTATATATACTTTTTGACAGCTAAATAGAGAATTGTCTTTGATGCCCTGAGAAGCGCATATTTCGACTTATTCCACTCACATATGAATTATGCTATAGTCTTGTGGGGTAATTCCTCTCACTCCACAAAAACCTTCACTTCAGAAAAAAGCAGTCAGAATATTGATGAATGCCAATTATAGACATCACTGTAAGTCGCTTTTCGAAAACATGGGTATACTACCACCGGTATTTATATATAGTCAATTACTTAAAATCCATAAAAATATATCAATTTATTCGTGGCATCAGGATATTCATTATCATGGTACATGATATGCAGATCTGTTCATACAGCCTCGATACAATCTCACAAGTTCTAATAAAAATGCATTGAATGTCAATCTTTACAAGTATCTCCCTAATTAATTCAAAGTGCTCAAACAAAGCTCCTTCAAAAACAGAATTAGAACTCCTCTCTCCTGGGAAACTGTTTTTATAGTACTCAGGATTATTTATGCACTTCAATAATTTTTGTGTATGTCTCTTCAGCTTCCTGGAAGAACGTTCCCTGGAAGTGGCCGTCGATGGATATATCACGAACACTTCTACCCTCAACGCTGGTGCTTCCTAGGTATCCATATTGTCTCTAGGTGTCTGTTCGTTGGAAAAAACCAAGAATACAATATATCGCTTTGCTGACGAAAGCAAACTTGTCTCTTCATCCTATTTGGATTCCAGGACATCGGCTACGGAGGCACATCTTAACTGGCAGCAGTAATGAGGATCTCGAAGTGATTTCGAATTGGGGTGCAAGTAACCAAGTTCAATTCAAAAACCACAAAAACCCAGGCATCAGTTTTCTTCAAGAAGATAAATGTCTCCGAACCGGATATAATAATTTCAGGTGAAGATCGAATTTGAAACACCCTGATAATATGACCTAACATTGAACCAGAATATAGTTTATGTGTATGGAAGGCAATAAAAAATTGCTTTCCTCTCAAGGTGAATTCAATACGCACATTCCAGTGGTATTAAATAATCAACCGTTCTGATTTGATATTGTACCTTTTTAGAAGTAAAAAGTCATTTACATTATATGACACAATATTTTTTCAAGTGATTGCAGAAAATCTTCATAAAAGAATTGTTCACAAATTTGCGGCAAAATTTTGCGAAACAGGATTGTTTCAATAGGATATCCCGAGAGCTGACGAATTTTCAGCCGATATTATAGGATATAACAGATTTTGAACAATGATTTATCAATAGCAAAGCAGTGAGGAATGAAGGATCTGGCAGGCCGAATATGAACTAGTTGCAAGTGCGTAAAAAGCAGTTGCAAAAATATTCTGACAAAAGAAAATATTCCACTCCATGTGAAATTGAAATGAATATGAAGTGAATATTTTCATTTGTTCAAAATTATGGCAAGACTACCCCAAACTTGAAATAAAAAAATAACAAATAAATATTGTAGGACGGTTGAAAATTCAAAGGTGTATTTATTGAAAATATTCAGAAATATAAAATAAGAGTCAGACAAAGAAGATGGTTCACAGTTACTGCCTAACAAGATTGAATAATAGTTACCATGATTGGCTCTGTGGAGACCACGTGACTTGGAAAAAATATTGCTTTTACGTTTTGAGGTATTTATTCTTATCGGCAGTTGTGAACCATGTGATAAAAAAATTGTTGATGATTATAGTTCTTCCAGTGAAGATGAGATTTTTTTTAATTACCTACTCGATTATCATTTTTCATTATAAACATTTTCATCAAATTGAGAATATTAGAATAATAAAAACGTGGTAAACCTCCATTCAACAACTTTGTTTTTTGTGAAGGCAATAGTGGTGATAAAATAATTGTTTTGACCGAAACTACTTTCATAGATGCAAAAAAAATTAAATATAGAAAAAACTGATAATTTAAATTCTGAAGATAATATTCTACCTGTTGGTGTATCACCGACGAGCGGATATCGCAGAGTTCGTTATAAAAATTTCAATACTTTGTCATAATGTGAATCATCAATAAGAATCTGTTTGAATCTGTTTTTCCGTTAACTATGTTAACGAGGTCCTAACTTTCAACGTGTGATTCCCAACACGGGTTGGACAATAGGAAGTGAAAATTGATCGTCCGGTCGACCACCGGATCACACAGCGGTCGAATGGTTGTGTCGAGCAAACCACCCACGTCAATTCACCAAGCTACCGTTCTACTAACAGTTATTTTTCCCGAAGGGTAGGCGGGTCGAGCCCTGTCCTCGAAGCTCCGACACATTCGGGAGGGCACGCCAGCATTTCCAATTAATGACCACTGCCCACACCGTGGAGTAAGTGATAATTGGGTCCGAAAATCATGAAGAAAATCAGAAAAAATCCGAAAACCAGAACAACGATATCAATAGAGTGGTCGGGATAGAGTCTGCGGAGTTCGAAGTGAAAATCTCGATATTCCATC